CCGCCGAAGAGACCGACGACTGCGGCATTAGGGCATCGTGTCAATGCTGAGGACCCACCAACTTTCAAAAGGAATGCTCTGCCAGCTACTTCTTGGTTCACTCTCTCGATCGGATCCCAATCCCGGCCCCAATCGCCCCAATCATAATGAAACCAAGTAGACGCCAAGGTCATAAGCCCTAAGACTTGGCCCTAAGCCTAAGAAATAAGAAGACTGAAGCGAGAAGTTGAGAATCGAAAGATAATGCCGACTGACAACACAGCAAACAATCCTTTTCAAATTCCAAACTCCAAACCGAACCCTGCCCAAGTCCGGGCCCTGGCCCTGGCCCTGCCCTGCCCGCCCGCCAGCACGATGTGCGATGCCAGCATGCGTGCCACGGGGTCCCCCTTGTCCTTGTCTGCCGCGTCTGCGGCAGCAGTTGATGCGTCTGCATCTGCACTGCCCAAGGATCGCAGGGTGTGCAGGCGATGTGCAAGAGCCTGGGTGTCCTCAAGGTTTTTATGCTGCTGCTGCTCGACGCGCTGAGCAAGGGCATCTGTGAACCGAAGTTTGGAAACATGCTTCAGCCGAATATTGTCTCGGTACAGAAGGTTGGCCAGCTCCCGTTCGGACAAAGACATCAAATACTCTCCACTGTTGAGCTTCAGCGTGTCCCTAGGCTCAGCTCAAATGCGTCTCACAGAGACGCAAGATGTGCTTAAGGTTTCACGGTCTGACACTTTTCATAAGTCTTACAATATTGCGAGTAATTATGAGCTTGTGGCATGATGGCATTACGGATAGCAACGGACGCTCAGGTGCAAGCGTGACACAGCACAGATTTGCGGAATCCCTTCAAGGACTCGATTCCTGCCATGCCCTTGAGAAAGGTTTGCACTTCCTCGGCTGATTCACCACGAACGATCGTGTCAAACATCAAGTTCATTAGGCTGTTTTTCAACCCTTGCAACTTGACTCTTGACCTCCAAACTCCAAGCCGCCAAAGCTCGCAGCACTACGGTACTACGGGCCCGGCAGCCGGGCCGGGAAGGTTATGCGGTTGCATGGCATTTGTGCCCGGCCTAGCTGTGCGAACAAGGCACTCGAGGCCCTTGAAGAAAAGATTGCAGCAGCTGTGGAAAACGCAGCTCGCACGACAAGTAGCTGATTGCTGCGGCAGGTGCACGTCGAACCATTCTCGTTGTGAGCGAGTGCACGCCCTCGACGCTTCGTTCGACTGTGCGTACCTGCATCTGAATGCACTACTCATTGTGCCACTGTGCCACCCATGGTCATACTCACAAAATGTTGAGCAAGGTGCAGCACACTGAGCGACTCAGCACATTGACCGTGAGTCACATTCACACACAAACCCAAATAAAAAGGTTTAGGCACATCTTGTCGTCCAGGGGCGTCCCCCTTTGCCAAAGGAAAGCATGGTAAGAATTGTCTTGAGTGTGCTGTACTGCAGTAGGGGAAGTTTGCTGAGAGCTGTGCCGGCTCTCTCTCTCTCTCTCTCTCTCTCTCTCTCTCTCTCTCTCTCTCTCTCTCTCTCTCTCTCTCTCTCTCTCTCTTTATCTCTCTCTCTCTCTCTCTCTCTCTCTCTCTCTCTCTCTCTCTCTCTCTCTCTCTCTCCAGCCGGACTTATAAGACTTTAAGCAGAAGCAGCCACGGCACATGACGCATCGCCGACAGCCATCGCAGCAAACACTCAGTTTCAGCTGCTTCGCTGCGTTCGCTGTCTGCTGCCGCGGCCGCGATGTCGGAAAGGACCTCACCTTCTGAAATACCTGCGTTGTAGTTTTGGCCCTCAAAACTCAAAAGTATTTGCGATTTACGGATAGGCCGGTTAGGTTGGCTACCTCGCTCTTTGGGAACTACGAAGGAAATGAGCAAGTTTCCCAAAAGTGCCACCTAGATACGCACAATGAACGGCCGAAGCGCATAGTCGCGATGGTCGTCCTCGTTGTGGTACGAAGGATCGAGGAACCTTCGGCTTTGCCTGTGCCGACATCCAGGCCCCCCTAAAGTCCACAACCTCAGGCAACTCCGCGCTGCGAGGGTGGCGATCATCGAATCGGGATGAGCCAGTGCGCCTTGGCGGGTAAAGGTGGGAGCAGCTGCAACGCAGGACACGTCAACAAAACTTGCTGCTCCTCAGCAACGAGCAGTCATGCAAGCAAACAGTTTCACACGAAACTCTGGTACTCTGGAAAACCCACGATTTTCAAGAAAGAAACCAATTGAAGTCCCATTATCCATTGCCGGTCACTGCCGACTGCCGCACTACATACTACATACTACGTGTGCAAGAATTCGCTCTGACAGGATTCACTCGGCCGAGACACAGAGCTTCCATGGGAGCTCTTCCCCATAAGACAGCTTGTTGACCAGCTGACCTGAAGCTCTGACGTAGCACGACACACGACACGGGCCGGGCCGGCCGGGCGGCCGGGGGTCACTCGTCACTCGACTCGCTAGACACCGATCCGATCCTTGCCGACTTGCCATCCTTGCCGGAGGAAATAAAGGCTTAGTACTTAGTACTCCCAACACTGAACGTGTGAAAAGTGAAAGGCGAAGCCAAGTCTGAGTCTAAGTCAAGTGGCTCCAGATCTGACACCTCGCTTTGTGCCACGTCGCGAAGACCTGCGCCTGGTTAGTGGTGGGGCCGAGGTGGCCAGGTGGATTATCTCCGTTTGCCTTGTTAACAATGGACATCCAATCACAAGCAACCCCCAACCGAAATAACCGAAGGCAACCGCCGGGCCGGGGCCGGGTCGGGCGGTGGGGCGAGCAGATGGCAGAAGTGCAGGCAGTGCAAAAGTCTCTGAAGTGAAGTGGGTGCCAAATTCAAGTTCATGGCCGCGGCCAAATTAAAGCACTATGAAGCCACCTGCCTGCTTGCTTTCGGAGATGAGAAGCTCGGCCATGTACTGGATCATTTTCTGTTTACGGTCTTGCATTTGCTCTAGTTCTCGCTGCAGGGCTTGTCCTGATGCCAATTCCGGCGACCGGCATCCTCTGAACGGACAACGAAGTGATGACGAAGATGACTTCCCCGAACAGCACCAAGCCGGACAAGACTCTGACCAAGAGCCAATGAAGTCAGCATCCTCTGCCAGGTCGATGATCACGTGGATCCAGAGCCAAGTCTCACGATCGTTGATGATCGAATTTAAGCGCTTGAGCGCATCCACCTGCAACTATGCAATCACGAATCATCCGAAACCACATCGTGTCCTAGTCACTCCTAGTCATGGTCGCCAGATCAATCCTATCTATCTACTATCGACTCGATGCATGGAATCGAATTGGACCCGTGTCTCCGGCTGCCGGCTCCGGTCTGTGGCTGTGACGGTGACCGCTTAGTAGTAGGGACTGGTGACTGGAACAATAAGCCAAGCAAAGCGACGTAAGGCCTCTGCAGCATCTGCAGCAGCTGCATCACCACGCATGTTGTATGGCCGATGCCACATCTTCGGCTTCGATTTCGATCGCGACACTGACTCAACACCACCTTTGACGAAGGAATTGTAGTTCCAGTAGTGCCGAAGCTTTGGCTCCACGGCTTTGACCTCGCTGACCGGCTGACCGCTGAAAGTGCTGTAGTAGCAGCAACAGCTGACAGCTGATAGCAAATAACAGCTGCATCGTGAACAAGTAACACGGAATCGAAGAAATCAAACCGACAATCTTAACAGGCTAGAGATGACTGGAGTACACGGTACACGTTGTAAAATGAAGGCGTTACTGGCGTTACTCATTACAAATTGCAAACCAGTGCTTGCAAACACTGCCACGTGCAGAAGCATACGCACGCGTGCTTGTCTTAGAACTTGTCTTCCTGAATCCTGAACTTCAAGCACTGAGTCAAGTTAAGTCAAACCACAACAAGATTTCTGGAACAAGGCAAATCGGCCGCAGCACAGAAATCGCTCACCGCCTGCCATCTTAACGAACTTCCCAGCTTGGCTGGGAAGGCCTCAAAAGACCGCGAGTCCTCGACGGAAAATGGCTCCACGCAAGTTGCCCGAAAGCGATCTCGGGAAAGGGCGTTGGAGACCAGCCGCTCCAATGCGCGGAGCCTGTTCTTGATGTCAGGCCACCTGAGCTTTTCGATAACGACTATAACTATAATAGGTGACAAGGCCTGGAATCTGGGAAGGCGGCGCGTTCAAAGTTAAAAGTTCAAGGTCGCTGTTGGGAATTGCGTACCGTGAACCGCAACCCTGGTTTCCAACCAACTCCTTAATTGGGAAATGTTATTTGGTTCATTTTTGGATTGTTGCTGCTGGGGCTCTGAGGCATATTGCGGAGAATGTCGCTGAGAACATTATCGCAGATGTGCTTGAGGCCATGTGTCACAAATGCATTTTCGAACTGTTGTTCACAAGCCGAAGGGTCAGCTGGATCAGTTTCGGCGATCGCGCAGTCGTTGGCCCTCGCACTTGCAGTTCCGTCGTCGTCCTGAATGGCGTCGCCCCACTGTTTGCCATCTAAAGTATCTTGCACGTCACGCACACGGTCGTGGAGTGGAAGCGCCGGAGCAACAGATAGCAACCGCTCGGTACCTTGCACATCGCACTGGCAAGTCGGCAACATGACCTGAAATCTACTTGAGCAGGGCAAGAAAGGCCCTGGAGCAACAGCCTCTACAGCCCCGGCCCTCAGCCCGGAGGCAAGTGCTGCTGCCGCCAAGAAGCCTTGGTCGCTGCAGCAAGATATGACTTGCTTGGAGTACTTCGAGACGTCCTCCGCCTCCAGAGACAGCACGTGCAGCAAGGCGTCCATCTTGAACGGGAAGGATGTGCAACCTGGCAAGAATACTGCTCTAATCGGATCATCGGATCCAAACGTGCTGGTCGTGAGACTGTGATGGGTCCCTTGCAAGGCAAGGGCCGCAAGGGTAGCTGATTTCAAGGCAGCGACACTCTGATGCCGGATCCGAGTCCGGTAACAAGGCAACACTGCAACAACCTAGCTTCACAGAATTCGGCATTGGGATGTCCTAACTCCTAACAGCCCATCATAGCGGGACCGTCGGACAGCCCCTTTTGCAAAGAACTTACGAAGAACAGCGCAAAACCCCGAACGCCTGAAGCAGCCGGGCCTTGTCCAAGCGAGCAGAGTGGCAACACTCGGCGCTCCGTGATGCTGGCAGCTGCACCTTCAGATCCCGGCAGATCCGGGTCTTGGGCGCGAAGGTCGGCCAAAATGTCATCAATTCCGCCCTCCGCGGCCTCGCCGTCCTCAACCCGAGGCACCGGTGCTCCATCTTGTTGGGGCCAGCTCTGCTTGAGATGCTGCACACTAAGCTCCACATTGGTGCAGAACTCTTCCACCACAAAGATTTCTTTTTTGTGTGCAGATTTTTCAGAAGCATCATAGCCTCGGACTCGAGATCGAATGAATGTGATTTGAGGCCTTCAGGTCGAACAGTTTGAAAAATGATGCATATCCTGGTCCTGGTCCTGGTATCGGGTAATGCATACAGCAGCGTCAGGCAAACCATCATTGAATGAATCGTTCATCATTCAGCCTACACTACTACACGGCCTACACATACACAGGTCGCAAGTCAGCAATTCAGCAATAACACGAAGTCTGCTACCCCCTGGCAGAATCAATCATCAACATGACTGCGGCCATGGATCACAAGCTGACCCAGCGGTTGTCGCCGCTCTGTTGCCAGAAGTCTCCTGGAATTCGTTAGCAAAAAGCAATTCGCGCAAACCTGAATGCAGAAGCATGTTTCCTTAGCTACTGCACTATGAACCCTATAATCATAAGACTGATCGCGCTATGGAATCACTTTTTTTGCTGCGGCGACGAATCGACGAAGATCGTTCAGTGTCCTTCAGGTAAGCCCGGCCCCGCCTGGAAAACTTCCTGGGACTCAACATTCAAAACTGGAGTCGGAGAGCATGCTTCAATGACTTCAATGCTTCCGAACGCTGGACTCCTGGACGCCTCGGCCTCGGGCTCATTCTTCTGGGCCTTGCTCTCAACCAAGTTGTTGAATATCGTCTTCAACATCGAATCCTGCTGCTGAACCAGACGACGTGCATCCACCATGATGGCGTAGATCGGAGGCGGCCTTTCGGTCTTGTAATTCCAGAAGTGCGACTCCAGCTCCTCAAGAAAACGAACGGCCGCGCGATGCTTCTTGAGCTGCGCCAAACACCCCTCTGGGCTGCGCAACTCGGTGGGAAACATGCGCAGCTCAGGCCAGTTCACGACCTCACGCCATTCCACACGCGTCAGCTTCTCGAAGTCGGCGCTCTCACCGTCCATCGACAGACACATGCGCATGACCAAGTTGATGGTGGCAGCAGCAGCCCCGATAACGTTCTTCTCAGGGGTCGCACCAGCAATCTTCACAGCTGTCAGCAGGGATTGCCACACCTCCTCCAACTGGCCTGCACTGCGGCTCATCTCGGTCACAGAGCCGAACTTCTCGAAGAAAGCGATCATCACCGGCATGAGATCGGAATCCGTAAGCACGCCTGTCGTGAGGCACGCCATCTCAGCAGCAGGAAAAAAATTGAGCCGTCACAGCTGCCAGCTGCCGTAATTAGCTCGACAATCACTCGTACTTCTAGGTCAAGCTACCACTGCCACTGCCACTCTTGACTCTTGCCTGCCATCACGGCAAACAAAAAGAAATGAACTGTCCATAAACAACTGACTGGCTCACTTCGGGAAAACAAAGTGCTGCAGTGCTATAGCTATACTAGCTTAGCATCGTCGGAGCAGCATCGCAAGCAAGTCAAGCCTATACTTCGATCTGCTGAGTGTCGATGCTGACGGGCCGTCACGACGAGACAGAGCGGCGTCCACTTCAAGCTCCAGCTCTTCTGAAGTGCTGGCCGCGGCCAGCAGCATTGCAGTGGAAAGTGCTAAGCGGAAGTGGGACGCGTTTCGGAGATGCATCGTCCTGGGATCACTGGGATATTGCCCATCTCGACGTGAGTGACTGAGTGACAACTTCAATAATATGACGGCAGCCGGCAGTGCCGGCAGCCTAAGTTTCGAAACCAGAATTCCAGCAGTCCAGCAGCAGACTGACCCAGACGACTAGATCGAAATTGAAGTAACCCTACCTACTCATGGGCGGTCTGACTCTGACGCCTCACGGGCAAAACTGTCAAAGTGAACGGCATCTGTGTCAACTGTCTAAGCTGGGCTGAGCTGACGTTTGCAATTGAAGCTGAAGCCGACTGGCAGCCACTGGCAGCCGACTCAGAACTCAGAAGCCTCGCCGAAAAAATAAAAAAAAACCGTCTGTCAAGCCGTCAAGCAATGCCATGAACTTCAAGCCATGCGTCAGCCTGTTGCATTGAAGCAAATGCAACCAACTGTAGGCTTTTTGCCCTCTGCCAAGGACCACCGTAGGCCCCAACTGAAACTGACCAGCACCAGCAGCGCCGGCATCACCAGCACAGTCGGCTTTCTGCACGGAAGAGACCAAACCAAGCAAGAAACTGTACAACATCCCGGGACAGCAGCAGCCCCAAAATCTGAACAGACCCGACTCAATCATCAATATCAGGAATCAGGGTCCGAGGTCCGAGGCCTGCCTGCTTCAAGTCACGTATCTCGCGCATCATCTGTTGTAGGCACGGAGCTGGCCGGGGAGCGAGAGCATGTGAAGTGTGCAAACGCTTTATCAAGGCCAGCGGCCAGAGGCTACGCATGGAAACTGACCTCAATGTCAACAGAACATCTAGCCAGCAGGCAAGAGCAGGACGAGCACATGGGTCGAATGGGCGCAATGGAGAACTGGTAACGGACAATGACAACACGTCTGCATCAACCAACCAAGTGCACACGGAACCTCACGTCACTTCACTCACCTCACCTCATTCATAACATAACATATCCCCTTCTACTTTTGCATGCAGCAGTGCAGCATGCCTGGCGGCCGCCTGCCGCCAGAGCTGCCGGAGAATGCATACATGTGTGAATAATTCTGTGAATGTGTGAACGTAATGTGACGACGGCCAAAAAGCCGAGAAGCAACACACAGAAACACAATGTCAGACTCTCAGACTCAGACTATCAGCCAATGAGCCGGAATCAGCCGGGCCGGGCCGGCCTCCTCGGGAGTGCCCTGCTGAATGACCAGCCGCGCCAACTTGGACGCAAGCTCGTAAATGCCCAGCGCTCTGGCAGAGGTGTCTGCAGCGTCCGTCGCCATGGACCGCAGCGGCCTCACCGTTTCAAGAACGAAACCTGAACCGCTCAACCGTTAAAATTGCCCGATGCCCTAAACCCTTTCCGTGCAAAACCGCCCACTTCGTATAATGCATCTGAAAAACAAATTCGCGGCCCAGCAGCTACAGGCTACCACAGCAGTCTCACCGGTGAAGACCGAAGACGACCTGCATGGTGGGAGACAGAGTCACAGGAGTGACACAGGAGTCACGATCGCAATGTTTGGATTCGCCAGTGGTCCAATCGAATCTCTTAACACCAGACTTTAGGTATGTCAAGTTGTACAGGACATGACATGCAAACTACCTAATAAGATGGGTCTGGTGGGCCCGAGTCCGAGGGCCAGGCATAAAGCTGCGAAGCCACGGCTAAGCCACCAGTGACCCGGCGCGGTGAACAGGATGTCATGCCAAAATATTCGGCGGCCTGCGGGGTTGGGCTGGGCTGGGCTGGGCGGGAATCGCAAAGCGGCGCAGAAGCAACGAAAGAAGATATAAAATCCCGAGATGAAACCCCAAGAAAAACCTCTACTCTAAAAGCTTATTAGCTGTTAACTTTAAACCCAACCCCAAATGGCCCCCCAGGGCCCCCACGACGACCATAACTTGACTACAACCCGCAACTCAACACTAGAGGCGGCTGAAGCGGCGAGCAACGAAATAACAATCAAACACATTTCACATTATGTACATAGTAACAAAGAAAATATCAGATCCAAACGGAAGCGCTGGTACAGTTAGTATAGCTCAGCAGAGTTCCGAAATCGTCCCGTCGACCAGAGCCCGGCCCCGGGAGCTCAGGCCCAGGCCCAGGCTGGATGAAAGGCTCGAATCAGTGGTCACTGGGCGGAGCACCCAGCACCCGGTGACAGGAAGGCCACGGCCACTACATGCTTACATGGCCATACATGAAATGGTACTTGGTACCAGTGGTATTTGATTTGTTTATGCTTGGCATGCGCTTGCAAATTGCAAAGTGTCACTGTTTGCAACTTGCACTTTGCACGGCGTCGTTCTCTAACCAAAGCTTCGGGCCTCGGGTCTGGGGTTTGGGTTTGGGTCTGGAGTCTGGAATCTGGATTTCGTTGATCACCTACTACTATAATCACTAATCAATTGGGTTTTTTTGACGAAATACTCTCAGACGGAGACTCTCAAAGTCACTGTGTCAGCAAGAGCCAAGGCAGCCAAGAGCAGGATCGGGATCACGGGATCCATTTCCATGTTTCCGCTACGGGCGATTCGGGCTGGCGACTGCTTTCTTGCGCGCCCTCAAAACTCGATCAAAACCTTGGCTGTCGCTCTCAACGGCTTTCGGCCCCTCAGGCTCCACGACCACGAGCTTCGGCATCGGCATCGGCTTCAAGCTTCGGCCCCTCAGACTGTGACTGAGACTGAGACTCAGCTGGGTTCTGCATCGGCATCGGCTCGGGCTGGAACAGGTAGGGGTAGCCGTCACAGTCGATCCAGAGCTCCGGAAGCGGACCGTCCGGGCCGGCTGAGTTGCGCTTGAAGATCTTGCCCAAGCCCATGCCCATGTTTCCAAGTGGCCACTCCACGTCGTACTGCGTACCCGTCCGCAGCACGCTGAACGTTTTGTTCATTATCATGACCCCCGAGTCTTGGCACACGATTTCGCGATCCTCAGGCTCAGTGGTTTCCATAGCGACGCTTTCGTTATTCTCGATGTCGTCGAAGTCGTCGATGTCTTCGTCTAACAAAGGAGCAAACTGAGGGTAGGCAGCCTTGTGCTCCTCGCTCAGTGCCATCATTCGACCAACAACACACTCACACGGGATCTGAGGCTCCATCCAGGTCCAGAGTCGAGTCTACTGCGTCGGACGCGACACTGCCGCTGTCTGTGACTATCTGTCTGCGATGCTTCCCTGCGGCACTGGAGGACACTGCGGCAGCACTGCGGCAGTCACTTGAGCGGAGCATCGGGATCGGGAATCGGAATTGGAATCATGTGTCATGGGTCCTCGGGTAGATGCACCCTGCGCCTGCACTTCACCCCAATACTTCAGCGCTACGAGCATTGACAAAGACTCAAACATGCACAGTCCATTCGAAGCTTTTTCGCCCAAATTGCGAAGCAGCCGACCAAGGTCCAATCTGGGCGAGGGGGCATTCGGGGCGTCTGCAGCACCGGCATGAGTCGTAAGCTTATAACCCTCGCCTCGTCCGCCTCGCACAAGCTGCATTGACATCCTGGGAATGGGCTTAAGGTTCGGTCTGCAGGCTGTCGTCTGAACATAAATCTTTGATGAAACTAACATGGAACGGGTGCACGGTACAAGGTTTACAGGTTGTCGGGTTTAGGACCTACCAGGTTACAGTTGAATATGTGGGGGTTTAGGTTTATGCAGGGCAATGCAGGGCTTTGTGGATTTGAGGTTGATGGTTCGCTAAACGCAGAGCCTCTTGTTAATCACCGGGGCCCCAAGTCCGGAGGGGCTATTTCCGCTCTCACCCTGAATAAGACTTGAGGGTTCGGGAAAACCGCGGCAAAAGGTTGGGCTTCGGGCTTCGGGAAACCCTGGGCAGCACTCAAGCACATGTTCACGGCCGCTAGTGCTGATGAAGGCTACACTTGGTCATAGCCGAAAGCGCCGAGCTTTTGTCGGCTCGTCATAGCCGCAACCAAAACCAAAAGCAGGATGCGATCATTGGTCGGCCCATAGCCATAGCTGCCATAGCCAAAGGCAGGATGCCGATCAGTGTCGCCCCATACACATAGCCAGAGCAGCCAAAAGCAGGATGCGATCATTTGTCGGCCCATAGCCATAGCTGCCAAAGCAGCCAAAGCCGATCATTGTCGCCCCATAGCCATAGCCGGAGCAGCCAAAAAGCAGGATGCCGATCATTTGGCGGTCCATAGCCATAGCCCATAGCAGCCAAAGCAGGATGCCGATCATTTGGCCCCGGCGGCCTTCTTCTTGTCCGACTTGTCCTTTTTGACCTTTTTGTCTTTGTCCTTCTTGTCTTTCTTCTTTTTGGTCCTGGCCCCAGCAGCTGATGCCGCAGCGGGAGCAGATTCAAACACATGGAACAAATCCTCCGGATCTTGCGGATAGGCCTTGCGGTAGTCCTTCAGGGTCAGGCCAGCCAGTGCATCAGCAATGGCTTGTTTGCCATAAGTCAAGTCATCCATCTCATCAGTCGTGTCGTACGATGCTTCTTCCTGGATTTCCAGAGCACGTTTCTTCTGACTGATGAACACGATCAATGATGCCAGCTTAACAGTGACCAGCTTCTTCGACATGTCAGCTGCAGCTACAAAATCTAGCGAGCAATGGCAAACCACCC